CTTGCGTTCATGAAACGTTGAGCAAAATAACGTTAACCAAAGCGCTTTGTGGGAGGCAAACCATGATGTTACTCGCTATTGTGTTTTGTATTGTTTCATTTTTCAAGCTTGTTTTGTTTTAATAAGGATGAAAAACTCAAGGGAAGAAGGCAAAAATAGCTTAATTTATCCAATTTTATTGTTTGCTGCATTTTCAGCCTCCTCCAGGAGGTGTTATGTAAGTTTTATCTTCAGCCTCTCCTCTCTAATTTTGTAACACTATGGACAATGTTCAGTTTAAGTTTGGGAGGGGGTATTTCCCTTTTCCCTTTTTTTATTTTTTGCATTTGGTGTGTTTATTTGAACTGTTTTTCTTTTTCTAGTTGTATAAACATTACTTTGAAAGTTCTCCCAAATTTTGAGTCATTTTAAAAAAATATGTAAAGTTTTGATTTGATTTATAAGAAATTATATAGAGATTTATGGATGAAATGCTAAAATTTAAGACTAGGAAAAATCGATAAAATAGGTATTGTTCGAACACCTAAATTTTTCTCAAAAAGGATATTAATTTGACTTGTTTTGTGCCATAGTATTTCTGAGAAGTTTTTTCGATTAGTTCTATAAAAACAATTTAGCATACAATAGATTTGCAAGCTATACTTAGTTAGTTGAGTGAAAAGTGATGGTGAAAGGAAGCTACACCTATTAAGTTGAGTAACCCTCGCCTAGTTACTCAACCCAGCGGTGGTTGAACCCTAACATAGAACCCCTAAAAAAAGGGCAATAATAAATAAATACACATTTGTGTGTAAAATCATTTGCAAATAAAGTAACTAGTTTGCTCATGTGTTGTAAATAACAAATAAATCCTCAATTAGTTTTGTGTAGTTTGTGATGATTATCTATATTTCATTGCCTTAATTTGATTGTTAAAAGAACGAAAAGAGAAGAAAATGATAAGTGAGACTTAGGTATAAAACCATAGTCAAAACAATATCTAATGAGGGAGACTTTTGGTCATGTTTATGTGGTTCATGTCCTTATGATGCTTATAGTCTTAATCTAGTACAAGAGAATCTCATCAAAAACCAATCGAGACTAATTTCAAATATGAGTATTATTCATTTTAATTTCATAAAATTTGTGTGCTTCATTACCTTGTCCTCTTTTTCTGTTTGTGAGCTGAGTTTCTTGAAGACAATAAACGATTCTAGTTTATGGAAGTTTGATAAGTGGTATTTATACCACTTATTGTGTGTTTTTATCACTAGCCCTTATGTCTATTTCTTCATTTTATTTCACTTTTACTACTTTCTGATATGGTTTTACGTTTTCAGCTAATAAGGAGTACCAATACTAAAGTGGAACGAGCATTGACCAAAAAATGAAAGAAGAGGAGTCTCCAAGTGCACAAACTCGTGGCCAACACGGTTGGGTCGTGTCCCCTGACACATGCCATATTGGTACAAGTTCCCCCTCTCATATCAAGAAGTTGTGGCCAACACAGGCTGGTCATGTCAGCTGGCACGGTATGTGCTGGTCCTAGAGTCCTCCCGTATATTTCATCAGAGAATAACACCAACAAGTTATGCTTCTTAACACTACTTGTGTTGAGCCTAGTGTCAGTTACAAACTCTTTAAGTTTTTGAAGTTTTGTGACTTTTTGAGCCTCCAAACTATCCCATTTTGAGTGCTTAATGATCTTAAGTGTCATTTACACGAATTTAGAGTCTTGAATGTACTCATTAACTATAAATAGATATAGGATCCTTGGTAGTAAGCACGATGCTTTACCCTTACATTCTCTAAGTTTATTTGCAGCATTAAGCTTTTGCCTTAAGTTTCTTGTGAATTTATTTTGCAGCAATTTCTAGTTTTTTATAAGAGAACTCAAGTATTCTTGGAGATTTTTCTTATTATAATTCAATTTATTGTCTTCATTTATGTTTATCTTTTCCATTGTTATTACTTTCATTTTATTTGTTATATTATGCATGTTATGTCTACTTTTTGTTTATTTACGATCAATCTTTACCGGTGAGTAGTCTATTAGGGACTAAGGGCCGTGAGATCTATTTCATGATGAACCTCAATTGAGTTATCTGTATACGGATAATGAGAAAATAAGAGCAATTGTTACTTTAGAATTCGTGCACTTCAATATATTTGTGTCGGTTGCGAAAGCAGGGGTAACTTAGATACCAATCATGAAAGGTAATGATTCAATATCCGAGAGCAAAATGCTAAGCAATTGATCTCGAGGCGCCATTGATAAGGTGTCTTGCTCTCATTTGAGAAAGTCGGATAGTTGCTCTAAAAACACGTCTAGTGCACACGCTACAAAAGTATGTGTTATATAATTTTGTCTAGTTTTACATAACTCACTCTGTATTCTCAAATTTGGTTTCAAATAGTTAATTGAGTATGTCAAAATAGATAATCACATACCTCATGCCTTGCTTTTATTCTTTTAATTTTATTTATTTGCACTGGATCACCAATATTTCCATCGTCTTAGCTACACATGGTTAGAATAAAAATCGATAATCTAATATATCTCCCTATGGTTCAAATTCCTATGGCCAGAAGGGGAACTAAATACTAACCATTTAAAAAATGATAAAACTAATACTCATTATATAATCTATAGCAAGGATGTTCTAATTGGGATTACTAGCGCTTATTATATAGTCTATAGCAAGGATATTCGTATTGCGAGTACATAAAATATGATAGATCATGATGACAGTCGTGTCACTCTTGCCAAAGTGGTGATTAAGTTATTCCCACCTATAGCATGATGACATCTGTAATTCCTAAGGTGTGTATAAAGGAGATTCAGCAATTGCAACGAGCTTTTATCTGGGGTGATAGTACATTTAAGCATAATTTGCACACTACCTGGTGGAGTGAGATTGTTATGGCTAAGTCTCAAGGTGGTTTGGGCTTATGAACCAAGCTTGCCTTGCTAATCTTAGTTGACAGTTGAAGAGTGGGATTCAAACTTTTTGGTGTGATGTTATGAGAAGTAAGTACCTTATGCATAGGCATCAAATGGATCAGTGTCAAGCCAAGCCTATTGATTCGAGCCTTTGGAAATAACTTGTTAAGTTGTGGGCCCATTTGGAGAGTATGACGTATTGGGAATTAGGGAATGGCAAGGTCACCAGGTTGTGGGAGGATGTTTGGATCGAACCAGACCTGAAGTTGAGCTCTAAGTTGCACAGTCAGAATTACTGGGTGGAGCAAAATGTTAGAGATAGAATTGTAGTGTATACTATAGGGGATTGAAATTGGAACTTGTTGTCATCCTTCGATGATATGATCCCTTGGCTAAAATCAAAGGTATTCCTCCTCCGATTCTAAACTTTGGGGTGGGTATGACAGTGGGGCCTTCACTATAGCTTCTATGTATAATCAAATCTTGCCTTCAAGTAGCACTTGTGTGAACAACGTTATGATTGATTAAAAAGTCATTTGAACGCTTAAGGTTCTGGAGCATATTTGGTATTTTATTTGGAAGTTGTTCCACATTGGTCTTATTACTAATCAGTATTTTGGGCATCTCTAATTGAGGAATGCTTATCGTGTTGACTGCAAAACTCAAGAGGAATATGCTCTTCATTCCTTGCATGACTGCAAAACTCAAGAGGAATATGCTCTTCATTCCTTGCATGACTGTACCGTGGCAAATCAGGTTTGGTCTCAGCTTTTTAGTAATTCTAATAAGCAAAATTTCTTTCAAGCGGAGTTTGGAGTTTGGGTTCAAAACAATCTGTAGAATAATTTTAATCCTAGGCACAAGGACTGGAGGCAACATGGGCCTCTGTGTGTCATTCGATCTGGACGTGGCAGAATCAAAGGCTCCATAATTCTAGCTTTACCATACCTTATAATGCTTCTAATTGTATTACGGACCAGGTGCAGCATATGTGAAATATTATAATCTAAAGCAGCGCTTGGTTCCTCCCTCCTTTATCTCTTTTCAGGAGCAGTAGTATGTGAAATATTGTAATCTAAAGCAGCACTTGGTTCCTCTCTCCTTTATCTCTTTTCTAGGGCATTGGTGTCCCTCTAAAGGATATTGGTTTTGTTTGAATGTTAATGGGGCTGTGAGGCAAGATGGCATGGTCAGATGTGGAGGCCTCTTACGTAATAACAATGGTATATGGCTAAAGGGTTTCAGCAAACATATTGGTAAGAATAACAAATAACAATGGTATATGGCTAAAGGGTTTTAGCAAACATATTGGTAAGAGTAACAGTATTCGTGCTGAGCTTTGGGTGTGTTGGCTAGCCTATAGCTTGCTCTGCAATATTAAAAAGTTGCAGATTCAAGTTAACAACAGCAAGGTGATTACTATGCTGCAAGAGATTAATAAAGTGCCACGGTCTAGTTTTAACTTGTTGCTTCACATCCAGCACCTTAATACTAACCTTAAAGAAATTAAGTTTGAAATTGCAAAGCTAATCGTAGTGCGGCCATGTTGGCTAAACAAGGTCATAATTGTGCTAGTAAGATTTGTGATAATAGTCCTAGGTGACTTCTTCTTTGCTCAAAGAGGATCTTTCTATTTTTTTTTTTTTTTTTAAGACAAAATAGTTAGTTTGTCTCGTGTTTCTAAACTTTTGCCCATCCATTTAAAAAATAATAATAATAAAAATAAAAAAAACACTACACCATATAGCTATTTATAATTTAAAATATTTCTAAAACCAATTTAATCATTATTATTTATTAATTTAAAATTTTAAAAACTTCTCCAACAATACATTCAGGAAATAAAGCAGGTCAGTTCCCCATAAAAAAGCAAATTCATGAAATAATTCCCATAAATAAACCAGAAAAATTAACATTTTTTTTACAGAAACAGAGTCTCGTGCTTCTCAGTCTCAGCCCACAAAAATAAGAGATTAATATAAAAGATAAACTTAAAAGAAAAAAAATTAAACAAAATTGTAGATTGAAAACAATTGAAAGGTATCGAAAAAAACTTCCAATTTATTATACCCTTCAGTCAGTTATGATTGGCTGCCTCAGCCTGTTTTGCTCCGACAGAGAAGAACTCAATGATCACTTCCAGTGGCATGCCTTTGGTTTCTGGAACTTTCAAGAAGACAAACACCCAAGCTATGAGGCACACGACTGCATACACACCAAACACTCCACCAAGGCCTACAGAATTCAGCATAACTGGGAGAGAATAGGTGACAATGATGTCACATATCCAAAAGGTAAGAGCACATATGGCAATGCAGAGACCACGAACTCGAGTTGGGAAGATCTCAGCACAAAGTATATTTGGAACTGGCCCAAATCCCATGACAAAGAAACAGAAATAAACAACAACACTAATGGTTGAGATTGATGCATTTGCAGTGCTGCCCAAATCCACAAGACTCCCTAGGACTAATATGAGAAGAGCTAATATCAAGATGGGGATTGTAGTGAGCAGCAAAGTCCTGCAAGAATTTTAAAAAGAGTAAGCAAGTAAGCAAATAATCCGGCGAATATTAAACACTGGTGCCTTGCATGTGTTTACCTTGTTATGAACAGAGAGTTATAAGGTGGGTGAGTTGGTTTTGAGTGGAGGGGCATAAATAAGGATTAAAGTGATATAGATGTCATGGATTCAACTCCCTCCACTAACATAACACATTAACTGCTAATATTTGTTCTCAAAAAAGAAGTCTTGTTCTGAACCTTTGAACCCAAATTATGAAGACAACTATTTCAATATTATCTCTAATAAACAGTCCAGGACGTTTTTTTACTGAACTTTAAACAACCCAACATCAATAGTAAAAGAAGACATTGATAGATGTAATGTAACGGTTAAAAATGTGTAGTTTGACCTAACTCAACTCTACAACACCAACTAGTAAAATGAGGATTACCCCCACCTATAAACAGATGTTCAGACCATATATTATCTAATGTGGAAGTCTTAACACACACCCTCACGCCCAAGACTAGACATCTGGAACGTGGAAATAAATGGTGGGTGGTCTTATAGCAAAAACCTAATGCTAGAAATATATTTCTTTAAACGACTCTACATGAAAGACCCTATGATGCTACAATAGCACAATTTGAGCATAATTTGAGCATCTTCAGTAAATATCTCATACAATCACAAAAAAAAAAAAAAGTTTTTTTAAAAAATTAAATAAATTATACAATCACAAAAAAAATAAACAAAAGAAAAGTTTTTTTTTAAAAATAAAATAAATTAAAGACGGGAAACGGAACCAATATAAAATATCAAAAACGCAATGAAATTTGATACACAAAAGAGTAAAAATTGTCAAACCCACCTTCTTATTGACATCAATCTGAAATTGTAGAAAACCAAATCGAGATAAAAAAAAAATCAATAGACATAATTTTTGAAGAGAAAACCCGACCAACATACATCCACCTCTTGAAACATATTTCTACCCATGTGAGCTACAGATGTCAAAAGAAAATAGTAGAGGGAAGATGGATACCTTCTGCCAGAAATATCCATGAGCCTCATGGCAATAGCTATACAAGGAAGCATCAGCAAGGTTGTCACTGCACTAATTAGAAAAGATGATGAAGTAGAACTAAGGCCCAGGTTTGAAAGAAGAAAACCAACACCTGCCTGCTCAAGAATTTGTGGTGTATAATAGAGGACTCCATTTATACCGGAGAACTGCATTGATTCAAAGAAGAGCTAAATGATAGTCCAGCATAAAATATAACCACCAACAGAGTCAAGCACTAAATATTGGTTCATGAACAAAATGTAATTGTTTTAATTGGAAACATCGGCGTGTAAATTGTCCCTAAGCTGGAAATATGTTATCAATAATTCTGTTTTCATTTTTTTTCTTCTGATTCTCTTCTACAATAGAATACATCAAGTATGGGTGATCCTATAGTAACATTGTCTTCCACTAGATAAGGGTTAGCTTGATTTCAAACTGTCTTGTCGTTGATCATCTTTAATAAAAGCAGTAATAAGAACCCACAAGGTATAATTTATTCAACATCACAGACGCAAAGGAATTTTGTTATTAATTTTCAGAAAATGAAACGCTACTAATTACATATAATAATAGGAAGTTTTTGTGGAAATGAATTAATAGTTTCAATCCAATTGACATTTTCCTTTTAAGGCTGTCAAAGTCTCAAAGATAGGAAATCCAATCAGGATACAATAATAATCTAGTATGCCAAAATAATTTTCGGCACAATATAATCAAAACTGGTTTTAATATCATATACCATTAATTCATATATATAACAATTTCATTGAAGTTAAAATGAAATTTCTAATTTCATTGAAGTTTATTTAACACAAGTGTTTTTTCAAGAAAGGAATTTCATTAAAGTTAGATACAATAATGTGCATAATTTTTTCATTAATAAATGTCAAATTTTTTTAATTTTCCCAAGCAAATTTTGGCTTGAATCATTTCCACACCCTCCCGTAATTTTATATTTGAGAACAGACTTGCTCTCACAGCAACTGTCATGGACCAACTATACCTAAAAATTTTAAGTTATTGGGTGAAAGCATGTGAATGGTTTTACACACATAAACCAACTACAATAATTTCACACCCATAACTTTTGAAGGTCAAAACTTGAACAGGTGCATTTTAAGAGAAATTGTAAGCATTAGATTCAAACCACTAACACTGATTTATGCCGCTAATCAAGGTATATTATTTGTATAGCACAATCCATGCTCAATTACCATAACATGAAGAGTCCTAGTAATCTAAGAAATGTAATACAGAGGATCCATAGGCGTAATAGAGCTTGAGGCTGACAGTGAAGTCTTTGCCTGTTAAACAATTTCAAGGGAGTGACTAACATGAAAATAAGAATCATTAACAACCACTTGGAGACAACACTGTATGTTTTCGTTTCATCACAGAATAAAATAGAAGAACTAAAGCACAACATTACTATAGATGGAAACAAAAAACATAGAAACACTAAAAAAACATGTTATTACCTGCTGAAGTATCTGAAGTCCCACCCCTACAAACAATGCATGTTTCACCCCCGGTTCAAAAAGATCATTCCAACTTGGCCCTTTTGCAGCTGTTTCAGATGGATGAATCATAGCAGGTCCAACTGGCTGCTGATGCATGAGCTCCTTGTTATAAAGAGCTGGTTGACTCACAAGAGCAGCAGTCTGTACAGCCTCACCATCTGTTGGCACATCACCACCAAGAAATGAAATCACAGACCCGCGTCTAGATCCAGGACCACCCTCTTGGTGTAAATATATTCTCTTGAAACCACCTTCCTTCTTTCCATCTGGGCCTTCGCGTTCAGCCCATTTCCAAGCTAACTGCCAACCACCACCAATTCCAGCACTCCCAACAGGCTCTCCTGCATTTGCTTGTAAAAGACTACCTTGCCTGATGTTTGAAATACCATGTGCCTGATGAGGCGGGTCCTTATCCATACTAGTCGCTTGACGTGAGATCAAAGGACTATGCAAGTTGTCATCAGAATCACCGGCAGCAGCATCCGATATATAGTCATCACCCTCTCTAGCAAGACTTTCTTCATCCCAATCTTCATTCCTAGGATGATTTCCCCCAACACTGAACATGCTTCCAAAGTGTGGAAAAAGAGCACTCCCCATTCTTCCATTTTCCGGGACCTTCTCGTGGACACTACCAAATAGGGTCACCAAAGGGTCCACTAGAGAAGTTGGATCTGCCATGCTTCCTCTCCTAGATATACGGGCAAGGGAACTCTGTCCAGTGAGAGGTCTGGCAATCCAGGACTGACCCTGTTCGGCCCCATACAACTTGATATGATCTTTAGCCTTAGATGGATCCTCTTGATCCGCTAATTCGTCGGCAGGTCCAACTATGTACTCTTCTATGGATGTATCACCCCCACTTCCAAGACCCTCCACCAATAAAGCCATCTCACCTGGTCATGCGAAAAGACAATTATTATAATAGGATTAGAAATGATAAAACAATATAGAAAATGCAAGTAATTATTGAAGAAAAGAAAAAGTGCATAACTAACCAGCAACATCTTCGCATCCACGAAGGCGTTGCAAAACTTTTTTAGCCTCGAGCATTCGACCTTTACTGACAAGCCATCTTGGAGACTCGGGCAATAAGAAGATGGTGAGTGCAAAATAAATAAGAGAGGGGATTGAAAGAACACCCAACATGAGTCTCCAGCTAGGAGTGTTGGTGAGTGACATGGCGAAGACCATACAGTAGGATAAAAACATACCAGCAGAACCAGTGAACTGTGGAAGTGTATTGAGTGATCCCCTAATCTCAGGAGGAGCAATCTCGGATATATAAAGAGGTACCAAGGTAACAGCGAGACCAATACCAAGACCATCTAAAAGTCTTGCGAAGAGGAGTATATAAACATTTGGAGACCAAAACATGACAAGAGAACTGAGAAAATAAAGGAGAGAGGAGATAATCAACATGGGGCGGCGTCCAAGCAAGTCTGATAGGGCACCGGAGCATGTAGTAACGACGGTGGCTCCAATAAGTGACATAGCCACAATTAGACCTTCGACTGTGGGTTCACTTTCTAATCGAAATTCCTTCTTTATGTATAAAATAGATCCTGCAAATAATCAAAGAGTGAATATCATATCATAATCAAAGATCGGGCATCTGACAAGAGGGAAACAAACCTGCAATAGTAGCATTGTCCCATCCTTGAAGTAAATTACCGATAGCAGCGGCAATAGCAACAATAACAGCTCCACTCATTGTAACAAATTACTTACTTTGGCAATCTAAAAAAACAACAAGATTCAGCGACGATTGACGATGATGATGGGAGAAATGAAATGGAAAAATAGTATACCTAAGAATAGAGATGCAGATAAGAATAAGAAAGAGCATCTATCTACAGGGTTCACCCAGCGAGTACAAGTTGTGTGGTAGGATGAGATCATGAGAGTGACCTATTTTCTTCTTTATTTTAATTAGTTAGAATATAAAAAAGTATGTGAGTGCAGGCAGGTCCCTGGGTTAGAAAAGTAAAGCAGGTAATGGAAACAAAATGGAGCCCTGGGTTAGAAAAGTAAAGCAGGTAATGGAAACAGAATGGAGCCCCCTGTTTTTTTTGCACCACAGCCTCGCTGCTCGACACCTGCCCCTTTCTCGCTCTCTCATTGCTACCCTCCCGGATAGGAATTCACTTCTTCTGCGTCTAACCTTCAGACAACACATTTAACGCTTCTACTGTAAAAATAGTAAAACTTTCCTTTTTCATTCATTTTAATATGTTTCTATGGTTAAACTTCAAATTTTAATAAATGAGTCACAAAATAGATGGATTACCTAAATTTGGATTTATTTCTAACTCATTAATTCATTAGTAATTTAGTCAAAAAAAATTTATTCGCTAAAGATAAAATCTATCTATTAACATTTTCAATAATATAAAAAATATTTTTTTTAAATATCTCTCAAATTAATTATTTTTTTCTTTTTCCAAATCAAAACATGTGGTTTGAATTAAAACATAAGCCACCATTTTGTAAATCGAAATAAACTTCATCATAATTTTAATCATATACTATTATTTTCTTATTCAAATTTTATATGTCACCTTATTTATAAATAAAAAAAAATTTAAATTTTTTTAGTCATAAATATAAGATATATAAATAAAAATATTAGATTCATGTTTATAAATAAATTTAAACATTTAATATTTGTAAGAGGTATTTAGAAGATGCTGTTGAGTTTCTTTACGTAAGTTATGTAAAAAAAATTAGGCAAAATTACGTTAGAGGTAATTTTAATTTTTTTTAACAGATACATCTAATAAGTTATCAAATGTGTGTATTATTATCCTTTTTAATATAGTGAAGGTGTTAATTGTGATTGCAATTATTTTGAATAATATAAAAATAATTAAATGCAATCAAAAATACAACAATAATAAATTTCCAATTATTTAAAATATGAAGAAAAGGATGTTGAAATCAACCTAAAGGTCCAAGTTGTTTAAAAAAAAATTAAAGGACCATCGGATATAATTTTGCCAAAAACTTATTATTTTCCTTTAAGATCAAACTCAATTTAAATAATTTGTTTAAATTTATTACATGTGTCATTTACAAACAAAAATTTATGGCTTCCAATACATGTACAATTCCATAATAATTAATCGATGATATATAAATCGCTTAAGAGCAACTTATGTCGCCCTCATGGAGGTATTGTCTTGCCCCAATATTTTTCTCTCGTTCGGTCATGAAAAATATCGAATAAAATGTTTCTGGGGGCAGAGAGAAGTCAATGGTCAATAACTAATCCACGGTCCTTTGAAAATAGAGATTCAACAGCCAACCATTAACTAAATGGATGGTGACCTTTTCCAAAAAAATCTTAGGCCCAAGACCTCTGTGAATGTCTTTTCCCCTGCGAGAGAGAAGACAGATCCTAAGTTATACATTTAGATATAAACACCAAACACATTAACATAGTCTCTCATCTCACATGTCCTTTATTTTTTATTTAAAAAATAACCTTTTAAATATCTTCTAAGAAAATCAACATCATATAAAAATATCTTTAAATTATATATATATATATATATATATATATATATATATATATATATATATATATATATATATATATATATATATAATGTAACTTGTCGATCAGAATAGATGGCCAACAACACGTCTGTGGTCTTGTCGATCGATAAAAACGGGGGGAGTACCTGCAGACGCTCTGATGCTTAAGTCAGTTCATGTGAAGAGGTAAGTAAGAAAGGGTAAAGAATAAAATACCTGACCCTCCTGCAGATGAGGATTTTTATAGTCAAGTCGATTGGGGTATGCCGACTATTAGGCCTAACTGTAGTATTATTTCAATTTTTCGGCGTTCCATGGTCGAGTAAGTTCTTCCCCGTGTAAGTTTTTGAGGTAGTAGGCCCCATTTTCCGTTTTTGCTCGGACATGGTAGAGTCCTTCCTAGTTTGCGGCGAGTTTACCCTCGCGAAAATCTTTGTGATTTCTTCGCAGGACTAGGCTGTCGATTTTGAATTCTCATTTTACGACTTTGGCGTCATGTCATAAAGTTATCTTTTGCTTTAACGAGGCTTCGCGGAGGGTTTCCCTGATCAAATCTCTTTGACCAGGTCGAGCTGCTCTTTTAGTGTCTCGTCGTTCATCTCCTCGTTGAGGAGGGATTCGGTTTGCCTAGATGGTTCTCTGATCTCCACTAGGATTATTACCTTGATCTTGTAGGCTAGTCGGAATGGAGTTTCTCCTGTGGTCGAGTGTGGTGTCGTTATGTAGGCCCAGAGTACGTTATGTAGCTCTTCGACCCATTTCATTTTGGCCTCGCCTAATATTCGTTTTAGTCCTCGTAGGATCACTTTGTTCGCGGCCTCGGCCTGCCTGTTTGTTTGAGGGTGCTCGACCAATGTGAAATGTTGTCTGATGCCCAGTTTGGCGACAAAGTCCTAGAAATTTTTATCAATGAACTGTATCCCTTTATCAATGACGAGCGTCTGTGGTAAGCTGAATCGGGCAAGTATTTTTCTCTTATAGAAATGGAGTATATTGTGTGATATGATTTTGGCGGGGGCCTCCTCCTCTATCCATTTTGTGAAATAATCGACATCGATTATCAGTACTTGTTTTGGTCCAACCTCGTGGTAAACGGTTCGAGGATGTCCATTCTCCACTAGGCGAATGGCCACGGTGACGGAAGAGATTTAGGCTTGTTGGGCAAAGCCAAGTGTATGCCTCCATGGCGTTAGCATTTGTCACATTTTTTAACATGTTCTTTTGTGTCGTGCTGCATGGTGGGACAGTAATATCCTACTCACAAGGCCTTCCGGGCGAGGGACCTTCTTCCGAGGTGATGGGCATTGATTCCTTCGTGGATTTCGTTTAATATGCGGGCGACCTTGGATTCCTCGACACACTTGAGGAGGGGGATGCAAAATCCTCATATGTATAGCTTGTCCTCGACCAAGACATGGGCGCAAGCTCTGCGTCTGATCATGCTGGCCTCTTTCTGGTCGGGTGGTAATTCTTTTGTGGTGAGGTAGTTGTATACTGGGGTCATCCAGTAGTCGCTTTCGCCGATGGCATTTATGTCAAGGGTTGCAGAAGGTTTTTCGATGCTCGGGTGAGTGAGTATCTCTTGGATGACAGGCTTGTTTCCGCCCTTCTTTTTTGTGCTCGCGAGTTTTGACATGATGTTCGCCCATGTGTTATGCTCACGGGGGACATGTTTTATTTCCATGGAATCAAATTTTGTTATTCTCTCCCGAACCATAGCTAAGTACTCAAAGAAATTGTAGTTCTTGGCTTGATATTCTCTCAGTACTTGAGAGGCGACGAGCTGGGAATCAGTGAAGATTTTTACCTCTTTAGCTCCCAAGTCTTTAGCCAGGCGTAGCCCCACGAGGAAGTTTTCTTAATCTACCTAGTTATTCGAGGTTGGGAAGGAAAGGGCGAAAGAGATTTTGATTAGGATTCCCTCATTGTTTTCAAGTATGATGCCTGTTCCGCTTCCTGTCGAGCTAGATGCTTTGTCTACGAAGATTGTCCACTTATGGGCTTCGCTTGTCGGGGAGGCAGGCGTGGCCGGATGTCAAATTTAGAGAGTTCCAATGATCATTTAAGCATTCTTCTAGCCATGTCGGGACGGTCGAGCAGCTGCTTTACGGGTTGGCAATTCGCACCACGATCATGTAAGCTAGGAAGCAGTGTCTCAATCTTCTCGCCGCATTGATGAGGCCAGTGCTGCTTTTTCAATTTGTTGGCATCTGAGCCCGGGGCCTTGTAAAGCCTTGCTAGTGAAGTAATGGGTTTCTGCCCCTTGAGAGTTTTATGAATGATAGTCGCCCTGATAACCTCGGTTGCGACGGCGAAGTAAAGGTAGAGAGTCTTCCCATTGTCTAGTCGCGAGAGGACCACTAGTTGTGAAAGAGCTCGTTTGAGGTAGAGAAGGGCTTGTTCACACTCCTCGGTGTGAGGGAAATCCTCATAGGTAGCTACACTTGTTTTAATGATGTCAAAACTTAGATTGATAGAAAATTGTACTTTGGACAGTATCATTGTGTCACATATGCATATCTTATCCCCTCGTGAGTCAAACATCTGTCAAAAATATTATTGATATATATAAAAATTTCTAAATCTATGCTTCATGTAGGTTTGGTCAAGCTTGTCAAACTTACTATGTGATAGAGTACCTCAAAAGTTGCATGATACATGAAAATATGCATTTTTGCATATTTTAGGGCTTTGAGTCGACTCAAACCTAGTTTTGGTCGACTCATATAGAAAGCCCTTTGAACTGTCTACTCTCAGGAGTGCTCACGTCGACCCTCCGGTCGATTCATACTGTATCCATTTCTATTTGTCTAATTCTGCATGCTTTGCATTGACGCATGACTTATCCGGTCGATGCAAAATTCTGTTTTTTGCACAATCAGAAATTCGGGTAAGCTCGGGTTGACCCTCATTTCTATATAGGTCGACCGCTCGCGTAACTTCAATTAAAAATCTGTTATATGAAATTGTCTTTTTGGTTGTTATGTTTGTTAATTGTTTTTGTCTTGCATATATAGTTAGTTTTGCTCTTCCTTTCACATATACATGAAAACCAAGAAAAGTGAAAATAGATACTGATTATTCTCATCATCTTCATCCTCTTCCTTGCATTTTCTCAACAACTACACATAATCATTTTTGTTGTGCATTATGTTTGTTAGAGGTGATAACGTC